CTTAATTAACAAAAATACAGTAATACAATATAAGATAATATTATACTAAAGCTAAACTATGCAATTTTGCAGAACACCCATTAATAGCCAGTGACCTCTAAGTGTGATTGTGGAGAAATAAAAAAGTTGTTCAATTTTGGAGAATGCTTCTTATCTTCTTCAATTTCATAGCTAGCTTTCATTCCAAGACCATCATCCCTACACAACCGCTGTGGTCCTATGGAGATAAAAAATTTTTTTTATTTTTTATAGAAAAAAAAAGAGAAAAGAGAAGTGTTAAAAGTATATTGGCAAATAAAAACTTCTTAAAGTCAATCTCGAGTCTGACCATCTACAGTTGGATACCCATTCAATTTCTACTATTTTGTTGCTAACCAAGAATATTTAAGGACACTTCCAGGAGAGTAATTCTTGAAATTTTACACTCAAAAACTTCTAACCTTTGGAAAGAATTGGTATATTATTTGGCAATTTTTCTTCTAGCTGGTTTTTTAAGGAATTACAGCTTTATTCAACCAGTAGATAGTTTCAAGACCCTTTTATTCAACCATTTTTGAAATAATCAACAACAAAAGAAGCTTATTACTGTACCTGGGATAAGACCTTTCTTCAACCTTAAAAAGAAACAAAACCAATACAAGAGGGAAGGGAAAAGAGCTTCAAATTTCTTCTTTACAAAGTGAATACTTTATTATCTTGCTCTTTCCGTTAGAACCAATCACATTATCGGATTTGGTGTTATGCAAGATGGAACATGTGAAAGTTACATGTCTTGTTTACATTTCTTGTTACATGTAGATCAACCAATCCTAAATTCGAACCAATCATCATTCAAGAATTCCGGTGTAACCAAAAATTCAGGGTCAAACTAAGGTAGGCAAAATTCCTCAGAAAAACTAGAAAAAAGTTTACATGCTTTAAAAGATAGAAGAAAGCTTAAGGAAGATGAAAGAAGAGTTCCAAAAACTGTACCAGTCTTTTCTAGAGTCTTAAATTTCTGGAGGAAGAGAGGAGGGTGTTTTTTCTACAGGTTCTTTTTCCTAATAAAGTTTTCTTGCCTTTAACTTTATAGGTAGGTATTTCTTATATTTACTTGCAGAAATACAAGTTTATATCAAAAAAAGAAAGGAACAAGTGAGGAAGACTGTAGTCTTTTGGTGTGAGTGTTGTTAATGAAAGTGTATAGACTTTATTACAAAGAAATATAAAAATTTTCTTGGAACATCTGTTTTTTGTGTTGGTAAAGAGATTAGCAGAAAGAGTTTTTTTTATGAAAAAACAATTAATAAAAGTTGAAAAAATTAAATATTTACTGAAATGAATTAAGAATTGAGCCATGCTTGAAATTTTTCTTTTTTTTTTTTATCTATAATAAATATTTTTTGATGATTTTTTAAATTAATTTAAAATAGTTTACAATAGCTAGTTTGATTCTCAATTTACTTTTATAATAAGAATTAGAAAATACTTTTATTTTATATATCATAAAGAATAATTATACTTGTGATTATTTGCTTAACTTTGTCAAAATTTATAATTGTAATTTTCATTGTTTTCAAGATTATTACAATTATTGGAAATTTAAAAAGTATTATTATTGTATTATTTGTAACAAAATAACTAGCACTAATATTAAATTATATAAAAAATACTAAAAAATATTATATTATAAAATCTTTATATGTTTTGATTATACTCAAATCTATATATTTAATTATATCAAAAAATTTATATCAATAAAAATTTATTATTATTGAAATTAAAATTTTAAAATCTTTAAAATATCTTAACTCTGATATAAAAAAATATTCTGATATAAAAAAATATTTTAACTTTGATATAAAAAAAACTAATAAATTGATCTGTAGGTCTATAGTATAGTGGTTAACACTTCACAGGTCAGATCACAAGATACCAATTCAATCCCAGATGAAGGCGATTGAATAGAATCTATATGGTACCTGGCATCATAATCTGTTATGTGCTGTTTTTCATAGGAAGCTGTTTCATACGCTAATTTAGTGAGTGTTGAGATTATAATCTCCAGAAAAGGTGCTGTGGCATGATGATCATCTGGGTGATGTTACGATGATTGCCAGAAGCATGCCCATGGTGGTTAAACAACATGGTAAGCTAAGAGACATATGTTCAACTTTTTTAATTAAGATTCCCCTTGTATTTAAATATACAGATTAAGCTGTGTCCCACCCTAACTAAACCTTGATTTTCTTCTTTAATGGTGATTAAAACCCTAGCCAGAATATTTCAATTCAGTGCAGAGCCTAATTGATTTAAAAAATAATCAGCCGCAGGTAGTGAGAAGGATTACAGTTACTATAGTAGATGCTATAGGCCAATGGGGCTGTAATTTGAGGTCTGGTAATAAAGCGAGAAGGTACTTGAACTAATCTCCTTAATCAAGTTATTTCTAAACAAAGCTGAACCATATAGATTAGATAGTTTAAACTAGTGGTAGGATTTTTACACCCTATAGGTTTTCACCTAGTGTTGCGAAGGAAATTATTCAAGATAATAGGTTCCTGAGTGCTGGATATAAGGTGAAGGTGTAAGGAATAATCTGCATAGATATATAATGTACTAACTTGTATAAGTCCTAATGTTGCAACTGTAATTGATATAATGCACTTATCAATAAAAACCTTGTGGATATCATATTTTACCTTAAAAAAAAAAAAAACCAATAAATTAATTAAATATAAATAAAAAATTAAATATATTTTAGAGTAGTAATTTTTTTTTTATTATAAAAGTAAATAAAACTTTGAAATAATTTGATATAAATAAATAAAAATTAATATAAATTTTGAGAACTAAAATAAAATAAATTACTTTATTTTATTTTACAACTGTTTTATATAATTAAATAAGATTTATAAGATTATTAATATTAAATTTAAGCTTGTAAAAAAAACTGCATACTCAAGTTCAAAACTTTTTTTATAGCAAATAGAGTAATAATATAAAAATGTAATTAAAAAAATAAATCTTATTACATTTAAGTATGGCATAAAAAAAATAAAACAAAATTATATAAAAATTAATATAAGAAAAAAGTTTTTAATAGTATAAAAATGAAAAAATAATAATATATTTTTCTGTTCCAATTTTTTCAAAAACATATTACTAATAAGATTATTTTATTATTTTATAAAATTTTTTTTTTTTTTATAATTATATAATTTTTTTATACTAATATATTTTTTATTTAAATTATTTTATATAATAATTTTCTATTTTTAAAATTTATACAAATTATATAATACAATAAATAAGTTTATAACTAAATACAAAAAAAAATAAGTTTATAATTAAATTTCAATATAATAATTATTATTAAAAAAACATTAATTATAAAAAAAATTAATTTATTATTACAATGTATATATATTTTTTTAATTATTATTATAATGGTAATTTTTTTACTTAAATTTTTTTACTATTTACAGTATTTATTACATGATATTATGTCATATTATATAAGAAATAAGAAAATTTATTAAGTTATTAAAAAATTAATTTACTAAATTAAACAATATGGCGTCAATTAAATATTGTTTTATTAAAACTGGAAAATTCATCTGCATCTTACTATGTACACTTTATTACCGGCTGATTCGTACATAACCAAAAAAAATGCGGCGAAATGTGCTAGTTCTCAACCGGTTCTAGTGGGCTGACTTCATAAAAGGATTAACTTGATTTGTTTGAAACCAAGATCTTCACATGGTGACTGGCTAAATACGAGCGGTTTACTTCATTGTTAATCTTGTTATATGATGCATCATTTCGGTATTATTAATATCCAAAAGTTGGAAAGTTCTGGTTGATGTAATTACGTAAGCCGACCGGAATAGACATCAAAAGGGTCGGCTCTATGGAAAAATTAAATCCCTAAGCATCGTCACGACTGAAAAATGATGTTTCATTCATCACCATTCTATCAATTAAAATGTCATACTTTAAAGAGCTCGGGTATTCTGTCTTGCCGAAAATCCCTTGTATTCATTGTGTACCTATTGAATGCTTGATTGTTTATGAAATCCAAAAGAAAATTGATTTATTTAATGAATACTCTGTACCTATGTTGGGAGAACAATTTCAATCGTAGTAGTTATTATATCACACTTTTCTATCCGCAGCAAAATCTCCTTCTAACCAAATGTTGAATATCAACAATGGAGACTCATCCAAATGGAGTAGAGTACAGATGTTGGTATGGGGAAAGTTCGAACGCCATACGTATTTCTTTCATACACATTGGCATTTTTTTACTAAGCGTAAATTACTTCCCTCTATATCCGAATTTGATATGAAATGAATCTAATGAATCTAATGAATCTAATGTAAATGTAAATAATTGATCTTTCCAATGAGTAAATATTACGTTTGTTTATATTATTATGCATATATAAAAAAAAAAAGGTGGATGACCTTGCTTACTTTCCGGTGACTACATAGTGTAATCGTGCTTGTCGTTTATCGGCAATTATTCGGTCCCTCCTGAAAAAATTTTGCACGATACTGAATCATCGTAAATCATTCCACTCCCGTTCCTTTTTTGATTTGGTGGTGATACAAACTTTCAATCGTCGTGTATAAATACAAATATCTCGTCCTCTCACGTTTCTCTTATTTTTTTCTTCTTATTTCTTTGTAAATATTTTATGTAAATATTATCTTCGAGCATATTGAACTTTTTTGTACATTTATCAATCATTATCATTATTTGCATATAAAGAAATTTTTTTATTTAAAAGAAAGGAGAACATAGTAACGAAGTACGGCTACAGAACATTTCATTCATTTGCTCACCCAGTAACATTTCGAAAAAAGTTCATATCAAACTATCATAAAAGTTTACTTGGCAACATTTGTTAGCCCAATAAATATCATAACCAACCTATCAACTTGTTGACACAATGAATAACGAAAAGTGGTTCCAACTTGTTCAACACTATCAAGAACAAATACCATCTAATGTTCACAAGTACATCATTCAGACGTATGCAGATGGTCAAGAAAGCTTAAGGCGCCATCATGCATCTGTCTGGGAAACATCGTCAAGAACCGAAATTTTCCTAATGGTCTTTTCGATTCTTTTATGGTGTGTGATGATGTTTTTGGTGTCGCTAGGTTACATAGTAGCGTAAGTACAATTTAGAATTTCGTGTATGCTACTTGATTCATGGTTTTGCAGATATCATCTTTCTTATCACATATTATTATTATTATCTTTGACATTTAAAGGCGCACGCGGTATAGATCTTCTAAGAGATCAAATTCATCGCAATTATCTGCCAGCCAAGTTCCCGGTGTATCAATTATAAGACCGCTTAAAGGGGTGGACGTCAATTTGTTGGAGAATCTCGCGTCTTCATTCAGACAAGATTATCCTAAATTCGAAATTATCTTTTCCGTCGCAAGCGAAAATGATCCGGCCGTGAAAGTGGTGAAAAAATTGATGAAAAAATTTCCAAACGCAGATGTTAATTTAATAATAGGTAGGTGTTTTGATCGAGATGAAGAAGTTTTCCGTGAGTTTCTTGTAATCTAATTACACATCATATCCACAAATAGGTCAACGAGAGGTAGGCGTGAACCCAAAAATAAACAACTTAATTCGAGCTTACGAATCTGTAAAATATGACATAATCTGGATCTTGGACTCAAATGTCTATGTTGACCCGGGATGTCTCGGAAGATCGGTGGATAAACTGATTCAACCTGGCGTCGGTCTTGTTCATCATCTTCCCTTTGCCATTAGACCAGAGACTTTTGGTTCGGAATTGGAAATGATGTTTATGGACACCGTTCATGCAAAAATGTATTTAGCCATCAACGCTATAGGTCCGGATAGTTGTGTCGTAGGTAAATCAAATCTATATCGCAAGAGCGATCTCGAAAGCGTTGGAGGTCTGGCTCAATTCGGAAAATATATGGCCGAGGATAATCTTATTGCTAGAGCTCTTTGGCGAAAAGGCTTTAAACATGAAATGACCAGTGATTTAGCTTATCAACCACTGGGTTCCATGGCTACTGCAGATTACTTCTTGCGTCGATCACGTTGGACTCGAATTCGAAAGTATACTGTCACAGCTGCTACAGTTGTCGAGCCTTTCACGGAATCCATATTATGTGGTTTATGTGCCTCTTTTGGTTTCAATTTGTTGTGGAATATTCATCCGCTCAATTTCTTGGCTTTTCATCTTATTCTTTGGTTTTGGTTGGATCTTAAGTTATTCCAATCTTTAAACAAAACGACCCTTAATATGGAAAGTTTGCGTGGTTTCATAATGGCTTGGGCTATGCGTGAAATTACTGCGTTGCCGTTGTATATTTATTCTGTGCTTGGTAATAATGTAGATTGGCGTGACGGAACTTTTCGTTTGATGCGAGATTCGACAGTAGAAAGAATACCCTCCCCACATCAACACCGATCAACCGGTAGCCTTTCATTACCTTCCTTGGCTCGCAACATTGCTGCTATAACCAATTATAACACAACTCACTCAACTTCTAATATTCAGAGGAACGCATTCTACCAACGACAATTTGTTGTTTCCATCCTCACTTCGATAATATTAGTAATTGACATTATAATGGACATTTTGTTCTCTAGTAACCGAAACGGGAATCCTGTAGAGAATTTGGAAGCTGATGAGTTGAGGGATTCTGGAAAAGAAAAAGTTAGGAAACGTAGGAGTGGTCGAAAGTCGATTGGTGATGCTGAAAGTGATCCTATGATGGATATTGACAGTTCAGATGAACTACACATTAGTAACCAAGATGATCCAATTATTCAAGCTGCTGGTCAATACTTGAAAAATACTTTGAGCAGAACGAGTCAATGTTTTGAAGAATTATATCATGAAGAATCCGACGAGACAAATGATTCTGATATAGACAACAATAATTTGAAATCAAACGAAGAAGCCCTATCGGCGACGTCAAGGAATAATTGCCCATCTCCTTCAACGGGTGACAAAGAGGTCATTACTGATACGAGACGTCCTTCAATTTTAAATGAAATATATCGAAGTGTATCCATTGGACTTTCGATGCACCTCCAAAACGAAAAGAATATTATTGAAGGTCAAAAATTAAGACGTAGACAAAGCGTCTCGGTCAGTAGTTCTAGCAACACGTCAAAGATCTCAGAAAGATCAAGAAAAAATGGTAGAAGTATGTCGTTAGACAATATATGATTCAATTTTTTCTTTCTTTTTTTTTTTTTCTTTTTTTCCTTTATATAGACAATGAAATTTTTGTATTTATTTGATATATTAATGCACATTTTTGAAAATTAGCAATACTTAAAACTTTCGTGAAATTAATTGTGATAGATTAAAATGCTATTAGTTTTGTGTGCACGGGGAATGATAATAAAAATTTTATAATCGCCAATCATCTGACTCCCTAGAAATTAATCAATGCCATGAATTTCAATTCAGTTGTCTGAATGTTAGACTGATTCTTCCTCCGGTAATTCTTTTTTCCTTTGGGATAGAATGCTTCCAGTGTTTTTGAGTAACACCTTTCATGACCATCAATGAGCCGTTTTCCAAAGTAAACCTGTGGACATTCTTTCTGTCCAACTTATTTCTAAAGATGAAAGTTCTAATCGCACCCAAACTTACGCAGGCGATAACACCGTCTCGCACCAGATCTCTTTCGTCATCAGAATGTTCTCCTATGTAATCATCACCATTTTTATACCAATTCAGCAAAACAAAATTAAACTTGACGTTCAAGATAGATTCAATTTTCTCTTTCAGTATCCTAACAGAAGGATGATACTCTAAAGAATCCACTCTAGCGGTAGTACCAGAATAACGGTAAACTCTGTCAGGATCCGAACCAAAGGAACAAGTAAGACGAGGAGCAGAAGAAGGACGACCAAATATCTTAAAAGTTGGGCGAGACCAATAAGTGAGAAAACTCAAGTCAGAGTAGAATTGATCGCATTCTCTTAAAGATATGACCGAAGGATAATAAAATACGTCAGCTTGAGGAAGCTCTAGTTTAACAAAGGCATGTTTTTGTGGTGTTGTCTTTGATTCACTATTTTCTTCTGAACTAGAAGAACAAAATTGAACAAGTGAAGTCTGTTGTAACTGAATTGGTTTGCTCAGAACTTTATCAGCCGATGACCTCTTTGATTCTTGTGATATGACTTGTTGACCAGTCTTTTTTTTTCTTGAAATCCAGGCGTCCAAGTTTTCGGATTCGGTGCAACTGCGTTTCATAATACCAGATTGCGTAAATTGATCACGCGTTTATCTTTTATAAACCTTGATTACTATCACGTGAGAAATTACACGTCAAGACGGACGGACTAAAGTACGACTGTGACCTCCTCTTTTGTAATCGCCTGCCGCTTATCATATGGGTGGCGAAGATGTGATTTCAGCTTGTTTAATATATATATATATTATATCTTGGTGTTTTAGAGACCAAATAAATGATGCATAATTACAAAATATTAGTTGAAGACTATTACTATAAATTCTTGTCAATATTGATTTACAGTATATTATGCTAATATTGTTATTTTATAAATTTTTTGACATACGATAAAAAAGATAATTTCTTGAAAAAAACAAATTAAAGAAATATTATATTAATTATAAAAAAATTTGTTTAAAAAATCTTTAATATAAAAGTAATTCTAAATAAAAAAAAAAAACTATTTAAAATATAATTCATAAATTCATAGTATTATAACATGTTTCTGGATTTCAATACAAAAGATTTTTATGCGTCAATTAATTACGTATTCAATTAGTTAAACTTATATTAAATTTAATTAGATGATATAAAAAATATGATTTTTTGGCTTTTTATTTAAGACATACAATTATAACAAAAAAGGTTATAAAAAAAATTTTTTTTAATTTAATTTAAATAAATATTTTATAAAATTAAATTAATTAAAAAATTTTAATAATTTTATTATATAAGTTAAATCTACAGTAGCTAATTTAATTTCAATTTAATTTATTTTAATAATTTATTTTAATCTAATAATTCAAAAAAATTAAATTTAAATTTTAAGCAAGAATGTTATAACAATAAATAATAATAATTATTATTATATTAATAATATTTTTTGAAAATTAATAGGATTTAAATAAATAAAATAAGTCTATATATTAAACAAAATAAAAATTGTTA